CCTCCCTAGGTGACGGGCGCTACTCCCTCTTGGGCCAGCCATTACAGTACAATCTGTCCATCTGCCCTCCCTTGCTACATGGCCAGTCAACGTACACGGTACACCAGGTAAGGGTGTGTGCCGTCAGCCTGAGGGCCATCAGAGCCTCCCTTCCCATCCAGGCCCCTGTCTCTGCCCATCTACCTCAACCAGTGGGGTGGACAGAGGAGATAGCACAGTGAGAATGGATAAAGTGGGGAGGCCTTACCCCTCTCCCACACTCAGTCTTCCCACCCAGCCCCAGTGCTAAGAAGGAGGGACTCTGTTTCTCAGTGGCCACACTGGCCAGTCACCCACCTGGTGGGTTGGGTACTGCTCCTTAATTTCTCAGACAGACATTAGGATGCAAGGCAGTCAGTATTGTTTACCTGGGATGAGAGTTATCTTTCGAATGTTGAAGGGACAAAGTGGATTGAAGCATGGAAACCGGAGCAAGAGACAAGCACTCAAATCTGCCTCCACTGACCTGGGGACAACAGACGTTGGTGAGTGACAAGATGCTGAATCCCCAAGAGAAGGTGCTCACCAGCCCGGGACCAGTGGGAAAAACCAGCTTAGGGTGGGGAGTAGAAATAGGACTCTTTTGTACTCAAGCGCAGGGAGAAACTGGAGAATTGAAGTATCTCAGTCTTCCTTACCAAACCATTTCAGGTGCTTGGAAAGGTGATTGTAAAAATTAAATAACACAATGGTCGGCAGTGCTGAGCCTATTAACAGAGAGTCTTGTGGGAGTGATCCTCACCTTGATCTAGGCTGTCTGCCTTGTAGTCCTAGGCCTTTTTATGGAGAAGTTTGACAAGAGAATATGGGGGGAGTAGAGTATGTGGGGGCCCCTGCAGGCCTCCCAGACTAGACATATAAGATCTCTTTGATTACCAGGGTTTGGGTTTTTTTTTTAATGTTTATTTATTTATTTTGAGAGAGAGAGAGTGCACACATGTGTGCACTCACACTGGGGAGGGACAGAGAGAGAGGGAGAGAGAAAATCCCAAGCAGGCTCCGTGCTGTCAGTGCAGAGTCCGATACAGGGCTTGATCTCACGAACCGTGAGATCATGATCTGAGCCTAAATCAAGAGTCAGGCACTTAACTGACTGAGCCACCCAGGCACCCATTGGATTACTCCTATTCAGAGTGGTTTGCTTATTTAAGAAAGGAAGGAAATGGACTTCCGCAGATGATAAGGAAGAGTGGTCCCTTGGGACCAGCCTCTGAGGGGGACTGTGCGATATATTTCAGATTGGGCTCCTGACTTTGTGCAAGAACTGAAGTGTAGGTCTCCAGATCCGAAGTCTGGGATTCTGATCCCCAGTTTCTTCTTACCTACATCTCTGGTCTAAGAGGAGAAAAAGTTTTCTTTGTTTCTCCTAGTTGCCTAGATGGTGGGGTGTTGGCTTGATTTGGGGAAGTAAGTGGGCAAAGCCAGGCTTTGAGGACATTACTCATACACTTGGGTCAGCTGCCTGCTTCTCTGCTGGCCGGTCTCCGGTCCTCCGTACTGTCACCTCTCACAACGATGTCCTCTCTCCTTCCATTCCAGTCCTGGGCCGGGTGCTGGAGGTGACAGATCTCCCTGAGGGCATCACTCGGACCGAGGCAGACAAACTCTTCACTCAGCTTGCCATGTCTGGCGCCAAGATCCAGTGGCTCAAGGATGCTCAGGGGCTGCCTGGCGGGGGTGGGGGGGACAACGGTGGGACTGCTGAGAATGGCCGCCACGCGGACCTCGCTGCCTTGTACACCATCGTGGCTGTGTTCCCCAGCCCCCTGGCTGCCCAGAATGCCTCCCTTCGCCTCAACAACTCCGTGAGTCGCTTCAAACTTCGAGTGGCCAAAAAGAACTATGACCTGAGGATCCTGGAGCGAGCTAGCTCCCAATAAACAGAGGAGGGGAAGGGACCGGCACAGTAGGGATAGGGGCAGGGTGGAGGGGGTCGAGGGATCCTGACAGACTACAGGACCGAGGCAGAAAGAAAGGCGACAGACACTGAGCTGGAGCCTAAGACAGTGGGATGAAGATGGAAACAGACACACTGGCACTGGACGACTTCTCACTCCCCTGCCGTGGGTCCCCTCTCTTTCCCTGGTTGGCCCCCTTGTTTCCCTTTCCTTCCCATCCTCGTCTGTCATTTTTTATCTCTTCCCCCACCGTGAAATTAATTTTTCTCATATTTTTTGGTCAGGTAGAAATGGGAGGGTCTGGCGCTCCCCTATTCGATCTCCTCTACCATCCCAAGCTCCCTTTTCATTTCTGGTCTTTATGAATATATTTATATGGACAGAATTAAGAAAAGCAAAATTGATTTCCCCTTTCTCTCACTTCCCCTATCTTGTCTCCCCAAACCCCAAAGAGTTAAAACTCCCCCCACCTCCCAGAACACTTGTATATTGTTTGTTTGAGGTTCGTGCCGCAGTAACAGACAGTATTTAATTGCACATACAGATGTTTGCTGGGTATATTCACTGTAAATTTTATTTAATCTGATTTTTTGTTTGTTTGGGGGGGTTACTTGGGGGGAGGTTGATTTTGTTTTTAAATATAAAAAAAAAAAAAATCTGTCACTGGACGTCAGTCCCTGTTTCTCTGTTGCTGATCTGGTACGGGTGGGGGGTGGAGGTCCTGGGGAGGTACAGCCCTACAGCTTGTTGGAGAAATTTCATGCCTGCCTTAGCATATGCACACATATCTCCCTAACACTGTTCCCTGCGTCCCATCCTCCTCCTTGTACATGATATTCTGATAGATGGCTGGATCTCTAATGGGACCTTTGTCCTGGGCTCTCCCACCTCTGCCACTAAGTGTGGCTTCATCAAGCACTTTCCTCATTAGTAAAGTAGGAGACTTGAACTAACTTGCTTATCTCTGAGGTTCCTTCCACTATGGTGATTCTGTGATACTCATTTAGGGCCCTCCTGGCTGAGCTGTGGAGGGATGAGTGAGATCCAGAACTGGATTGAGATGGTGGCCTCATACATGTCAAGAATTGGATCTTCTGAAAACTCTTCCGGGATGGAGGACTTGGGCCTTTTTTATGAAAGCTAGAGGACTGGGTTTGTGTGGAACAGAAATGGATGTTCCTACATAAGAGCTACATCTGTTAAACTTGAAGGGCCAAGATGCTTTATTACCCGGGCGTGCTCAGCAGTCCCTGTCCTGTGAAACTGAAGAAAGGTGAAAAACAGGTTATCCACCCGCACGGATGGAGCTTTTCCTCTCTCTGAGGCTTCTCAAAGCTAGCCCTGTGGTTGTGTGGCCTGTCTGACCAGGGCCATTAAGAGCCATCCAGCAGCCCCATTTCAATCTCACCCACCCCTTAAGGAAAGGAAAAAGAGCAGTGACAGAAGTGACAAAGCACATTACCCTGGAAATCCCTTGGGTCTGGGTAGCAGTATCTCTCACCAGGCTCCTCTGAGGCTTGTCTGACCCAACCTCCAATGTAATCCTTTACTTCTTACAGATACAAGGGATAAAGCAGGACTACACCACCACCTCCAAATGGCCCTCCTCCGAGATCCAAGGAGTAGCTCCTCTTTCTGCCATGTCACAGCCCAGAGTAGGAGGAAGGCTGCATCCCTATGAGATAAGGATGTGAGATCTCTCATCAACCCATAAGCTCATAGACGGGGCATCAGATGAGGGAGGTGGAATCAGGGAGTCAAAATGATTTAGGAAGTGTGGGGCTTGGCTGTTCTCTCTCCAAAAGTGTGCAGTCCTCATGGAGAAGCAGCAGCAGAAGTTGCTTACAGATGAGAAAAACCCCGTGTGGCAGCTTTGGCCTTCTGTCCAGTGTTAATGGGACCATCTCTACCTGATCATTAGACCCTCACTCTCCCGGAGCCCCTCAGATGGAAGTCCCAGCCTGGTTGTCAGTAGCTCAGAGAATTCCCTTCACCTCACCCTGGGGGTGAGGTTTTAGAATTGGGTTGGGGGAGGCTCTGGAGGCACTGGAGAGAATAAAGCAGTAGTCTGCATGTTCCCCACTCCCTTTCAGGAAGGCAGCAAGGTACCCCTCCAAGTACCCAGGGATAAAGAATGCAATCTAGTCTGACTGCCAGGAAACCTCAGAATTCAGTCTTCTTTCACTAGTTCCCAGCCTTTCCTTCCTAAAGGTCTGAGGCTAGATCAGTGCTTGAGGGTGTAAAAACATGACCACAAGAAGACGGCTGAAAACTCAAAAGCTAGTTCCAAAAGTAGGTCCAGGGAAGGTAGACTTGGAGAGGTGTTTGGGCCTTGGGGAAGGCTGTTTATAATTTCATCTTTACATTCAGTCATCTAAAATCACATAAGCGAGTATGCAGCATGAACAGACACTGCCCCTTCTTGAATTTAGCCAGAACTGACCTGTACACGGTAGATGAGAAACCAGGGCACAGTGGCTTTGGGGGATGGGAGGAGTTAGGGTCCAGCCCAGCCCAGACCTCCCCGTGTCCAATTTCTCTGTGTCAGCTGTGGCGCTCAGCTGTCCACTTTCCTCCAGCCCTGTCATTTCAGCTCTGACACCAAGGCGAGAGACTAGGAGGTCTACAAAGAACGCCTGGGTAGCCGCTGTGAGTACAGAGGGTACTGGGGGGGCTTGGCCCCCAAGGAAGAGGACCAGTCGTCCCCCAGCATCACCATCAAGACCCCAGGGGCTCCTTCTTTTCCTCCACAGACTGGGCTGACTTAGGGAATCCCAAACGTAAGTTGCCTCTTCGTCCCCTGTCCATTGCCAGGACTGCTTCCCCAGTCTGTAGTCTAGTCAACATCTTCGCTTCTCTCTTGCCTGTGAGTAGTTAGGGTTTTAGAAGCGAAATTATCACTCTACTCCAGGACAAGAGCTAGGATTGGAGGGTGGGGTGGGGGTGGGATCAAGGGAATGGAATAGTAAGGGAAGGGAAGGCTCATATTACTCTGAAAACTTAAAATAGCTGAGGACTGAGGTAGGCTGGGAACTAGGCCCTGGGCCCCAGGGAATCAAGAAAGGGGTAGGGGAGCACAAATGTCCCCAGCCCAGCCCTCCAGGCACGCTTATGGACACACCCATTAAACCTCTTGAAGAAAGGGGGCCTGGGAAGGTGTGCCACATCTCAGTTGCCCACAGATTCCCAAGATACACAAACTAGGAAAGTCCCTAAACCACGCAGCTTTGAGCACCATGTTGGGGCTGTGAGTTTGGGTTGCCCCTCAGGGTGGAAGGATGGGTATCTGTTTGAGGAACTGGTTGGGAAGCTCTGTAGTCTGTTGCACTTCTCTCTGGACCTCCGTGGAATCTTTCTGTTCGTAAGCCTATCCAGGGATTTCTGTTTAACCAAACTCCTCCCAGAGTCTCCCTTTCAAGGACCACCCTGCAGTGAGGGACAAGAATTAGGAAAGGAAGAATGGCAGGCAGGGATTAGATTCCACAGTGGGATCCACCCTCTTGCAGGATGACAGAAAAGGAGGTGCTGGAGTCCCCCAAGCCCTCCTTCCCAGCAGAGACTCGGCAAAGTGGGGTGAGTCTGGGCCTCTCACCACTGGGTGCGGGGAGCTGGGAAGCCACTGCAGCCCTTGCAGAATGCTTGAATTGATCTCACTTATATGTGACTCATTTACTGTCAGAATGCCAGCCAGCGCCCCGTGCCCAGGCTAGAAAAAGGTTTAGCTTCAGCCTTACCTGCTCTATCTAGAGAGCATGATGGTTCTTTTAACTTTGGGTTTCCTCCCCTCCCTGCTCCCTTCCCTCCCTCAGCTACAGCGCCTGAAGCAGTTATTCAGGAAGGAGTCTCCTGGGACGAAGGAGATGGAGCTTCCCCCAGAGCCCCAGGCCAACGGGGAGGCAGTGGGAGCTGGGGGTGGGCCCATCTACTACATCTATGAGGAAGAGGAAGAAGAGGAGGAGGAGGAGGAGCCACTCCCAGAACCTCCTAAGCTTGTCAATGATAAGCCTCACAAATTCAAAGATCATTTCTTCAAGAAGCCCAAGTTCTGTGATGTCTGTGCCCGGATGATTGTGCGTGAGTCACGAAGGGAAGCGGAGAGAGCGTGATTTGGAAGGCAGGAGGCGGAGGGGGAAAGGGCTCAGGAGAGGAGCGTTGTGTAGCGAGCAGACAGGCTGTGGCAAGAGGGGGCTTTAGGAGAACACTATTAGACTCAGAGTGTCGGGTCCTAGACAGAAAAGGGACCCGAGAGCGAGTAGCAGCACTGGTACAGAGAGAAGGGCAAATCAGGAACCTCACCCACATGTTCTTCCCTCTCCCAAGTCAACAACAAATTTGGGCTTCGCTGTAAGAACTGCAAAACTAACATCCACGAACACTGTCAGTCCTACGTGGAGATGCAAAGATGCTTCGGCAAGATCGTGAGTAGGCTCTGGGGAGCGAGGAAGCAGCAGGGAGGGGACATGTTGCCAGCTCCCCCCTCCCGTCCCTCCCAAGTCATCATATCCATTTCCCTGCTTTTCCTTTCTCAGCCCATCTCTTATTCTACGAAGAAGCTGCACTCGTGGGACAGATGGGGTTCTGGGCCCTACCTCACTGTCTCTAATGCTTTCTCCCGTCCCATCCTACAGCCCCCTGGTTTTCATCGGGCCTATAGCTCCCCACTCTACAGCAACCAGCAGTACGCTTGTGTCAAAGATCTCTGTAAGTGCTCCACGTGGGACCCAAGGGAGAGGGGAAGCCTAGAGATGGTTCCAGCACCATCTCTAGATTTGGAAGCCAAATTCTGGCACAGAAAGCTTCTATTTCCCATGGTTCTTTCTCAATCTAATATTTTAGCCATCCTGAATACAGAGTCCATATTCCTATGCTGGAGCTGAGGGAGATGAGATTAAGCTAGCGCTCCACACAGCTAGCAGGAGACAAAGCCAAGACTGAAACCCTCACCTGCCTCTCTTCAGACTCCGCTCTTCCTACATAATGCCATTTCTAAGCAAGGGCAAGGATTCTAGACCATCCTCGTCCTTCTTACAGAATAATACCAGTCTCAGGGCTAGACCAAGAGCTGCGGGCATCCGGGGCAGATCATAATTTGGCAACTCTTACAAAACGTATTCGTTGACAATTTACTCAACATTTATTTGGAGGAGAGGCTGAACTGTGTGAGGAGCATGGGTGGAAAAAAGAAGAACCCACTGGTGGCAGCACCCCAGCTTGCACATGCCACTCAGCGGAACAAAAGCCAGCAGTTAAAGGACCACTCTCCTTAGAAGGAGAATAGTGATTGTGAGCATTCCCCAGCTCCCAAGCAACTTGTTAGCACAGTTGTCTGCCCGACATCCTATAATGCTCCACCTGGAAGGAGTGCTCGTAAGTATTTTTCTCCATCACATTACATTTCCAGCGGTGTTTTTAGAGCTCTTTATAGATTGATGACCTAGGTATGCCCAGCTGACCCTTCCCTAGTCCTACACGCACACATATGCGCACACACATTCTCTCTCTACTTAATCCCGCCTCTCCCTTATTTAGGAGGTCTCTCTTTCCTCCAAGCCTTTCTCTGCTTCCCCAGTAATGGCTTCACTCTTCTACCCCTCCCCCTAGCTGCTGCCAATCACAATGATCCTGTGTTTGAAACCTTGCGCACTGGGGTGATCATGGCAAACAAGGAACGGAAGAAGGGACAGGCAGATAAGAAAAACGTGAGCACCATACCTTCCTCCTGAGGTCCCCTCAAGAGATCGCATTGGAACAGTTGGTCATATCTCCTTTCTGGAAAGCTGACAGAAGCTAGGGATTCTCTTCCCCTAAAATTGCAACAGACAAATTTTTTTGCATGCAATCTTAGAGGGCCTCTGGTTGAGAAATGCCATAGTGTGTAAGTTCTTCAGAAAGTCCCTTCTGAAATTGTCAGATTAAGCACCATAACCAACTGAAGGCTAGGCTCCAGGCTCCTGGCATTGCTGGACGACAGAGGCGAGAGCTATGCTTTTTGGACTTGGGGAAGAGAACTTACCATGCCAAGTAATCAGAATTCTAGAGCTGTGAAGGGCCCATGAAGGTCCATGAGGAGTCTCTGAATATTATCTCATCTGACTCAATTATTTTATAGATGAGGAAACTGATGCTCAAGACCAGCAGCCAAAAGCATCTTCATTTCCTTTTGTAAGAGGGTTACTAGACTGGTAATGCCATAGACTTGCCTCGAGTCTGCCGAAAAATTTGTTAGCATATCCTTATATCTTTCTGGACAACCAGGATGGACTGATGTGGGTAACAGTTAGATGGGGTCCTAAAACTGGATGAATGACTGTGCCCAAAGGATCCAGGTTCTTTAGGGAGTATCTGGCTAGAGGGAGATTTCTGATACCTTATAAGCATGATTTGGTCCTCAGTCGTCACCTGTGGTTATTTTTCTCACTGATGCAAATGGTATTATCCCTTAAGTTCATGGGAAACTTAGGAGGGAAAACTTAGATGCTGAACAGTATATTCAAAAATCTTACAGACTGGAAGAAAGACCCAAAACCAATAATTTGAAATTTTGTCAGGAAAAATGTACATGTCTGTTCTTGGATCAAAAAATCAATTGCACAAAAACAGAACTAAGGATTAGCCTCAGAGTAGTTGATATGGAGGTTGGGTGTAAGTTAGAGATTTATGTGGAATGAACTGTAACTTACAAGGCACTAGCAATGTCATTTGACTGCTTCCAGAAAGGCAAGCACACTTGGGTTCTCTTAAGGGAATTAGAAAAACTGTGTTACCATTTTTCTCTTACACACTGGAGTATTTTTAGGAGCAGACATTATAGTAAAAAACCTGGAATCAGGATCATAGGGGAGGGGGTAATTTGAAGGGACTGATAAAAGAAGAATATATGGGGGGTGCCTGGGTGGCTCAGTCAGTTAAGCGTCCGACTTCGGCTCAGGTCATGATCTCACGGTTCGTGGGTTCGAGCCCCACATCGGGCTCTGTACTGACAGCTAGCTCAGAGCCTGGAGCCTGTTTCGGATTCTGTATCTCCCTCTCTCTCTGACCCTCCCCTCCTCACGCTCTCTCTCTCTCTCTCAGAAATAAATAAAACATTAAAAAAAAAAAAAGAGAGAGAGAGAGAAGAATATGCAGGAAGGACTTACCAGCTAGCTTCAGACCTTTAAGGGGACTATGTTCCAAATTGCTCCAGAGGCCAAATCAGTACCAATTTACTAAAAGTTACAGGGAGACTGACATAGTTTTAATTCAGGGAATTGCCCTCAAATTGCATGAGCTTACTTTGTATGGTAGTGAGCCCCTTGTCATTAGCTACATTCAAGCACAATATGGATGGTCCACT